GACAGGTGAGTGAAATGTGAGAGACAGGTGAGAGACAGGTGAGTGAAATGTGAGACAGGTGAGAGTTAGGTGATAGTCAGGTGAGAAACAGGTGAGGGAAATGTGAGTGACAGGTGAGAGTCAGGTGAGAAACAGGTGAGTGAAATGTGAGTGACAGGTGAGAGTCAGGTGAGAGTCAGGTGAGTAAAATTTGAGAGACAGGTGAGTGACAGGTGAGAGACAGGTGAGTGAAATGTGAGAGAAAGGTGAGAGACAGGTGAGAAACAGATGAGTGACAGGTGAGTCTGGGGCTGACTGATTATATTAAAAACTCATCAGCATCAAGTCAGTTTTATTTCTCAGATTTTAAACTCTAACCGGGTCGAACAGAACCTGATCCGAGGTCGTACCTTCGTCCTCAGGCAGGTATCTCTTATCGATGGCTTCTTTGATCTGGTTGTTGGCTCCTTTAGGGTCCAGATCCATGGCCCAACTGAAGTTCATCAAAGCCAGGTGGGTCTGACCCAGCTTCTTATACACCTGAGGGACAGGTGTCGGGTGTCAGTCAGGTCTTACAGGTAAACCTCATCGACTGAAGAGACTAACTCTGAACCTAAACTGGGATTATGCTCTAAGTTGAACCAACCTGATAAAAAACAAACTCAACTGCTCCATTTGTTATCTGCTCCCTGATTGGCTCTCTGCGAGCACAGAGGAGTCACCTGATTGGACAGAACCAACTCTTACCTTTCCTATGAGGAAGTAAACCAAAGACTCTTTGGGAACGATCTGCTTCAGTTCCTCCAACTCCTGCAGAGCCGCCTGCAGAGAGAGAGAGACATGTCGTCATGGAGACGAGGACAGAGGTGTGTCCTCAGGGAGACGGGGACAGAGGTGTGTCCTCAGGGAGACGGGGACAGAGGTGTGTCCTCCGGGGAGACGGGGACAGAGGTGTGTCCTCAGGGGAGACAGGGACAGAGATGTGTCCTCAGGGGAGACGGGGACAGAGGTGTGTCCTCAGGGGAGACAGGGACAGAGATGTGTCCTCAGGGGAGACGGGGACAGAGGTGTGTCCTCTGGGACAGAGGTGTGTCCTCAGGGGAGACAGGGACAGAGGTGTGTCCTCAGGGGAGACAGGGACAGAGGTGTGTCCTCGGGGACAGAGGTGTGTCCTCAGGGGAGACAGGGACAGAGGTGTGTCCTCAGGGACAGAGGTGTGTCCTCAGGGACAGAGGTGTGTCCTCGGGGACAGAGGTGTGTCCTCAGGGGAGACAGGGACAGAGGTGTGTCCTCAGGGACAGAGGTGTGTCCTCGGGGAGACAGGGACAGAGGTGTGTCCTCGGGGACAGAGGTGTGTCCTCAGGGACAGAGGTGTGTCCTCGGGGACAGAGGTGTGTCCTCGGGGACAGAGGTGTGTCCTCGGGGACAGAGGTGTGTCCTCAGGGAGACAGGGACAGAGGTGTGTCCTCGGGGACAGAGGTGTGTCCTCTGGGAGACGGGGACAGAGGTGTGTCCTCGGGGACAGAGGTGTGTCCTCGGGGACAGAGGTGTGTCCTCAGGGAGACAGGGACAGAGGTGTG